TAGATGGGATTATAGGCACACGCCCACTAATTTGTATATTTTTAGTGGAGAGGGGGTTTCGCCATGTTGGTTAGGCTGGTCTCGAACTCCTGACCTCAGGTAATCTGTCTGCCTCGGCTTTCCAAAGTGCTGGGATTACAGGTGTGAGTCACCACGACTAACCTACTCATTTGAGACAGGGTCTGGCTCTGTCACCCAAGGCTGGAGTGCAGTGGCACAATCACAGCTCACTGTAGCCTCGACCTCACAGGCTCAAGTGATCCTCCTGCCTCAGCCTCCCTAGTAGCTGGGACTATCTATAGGTACACATCACCATGCTTGGCTACTTTTTTTTTTTTTGTAGAGATGAGGTCTCACTCTGTTGCCCAAGCTGGTCTTAAACTCCTGACCTCAAGCAATCCTCCCACTACACTGGGATTTCTGGCATGAGCCCCCGTACCTGGCCTACATGAGCACCTACACCTTCAGGAACAGTGTGGATGGATTCTCAGTGAGCCTGGATCACCCCTGCATAGAGGAGGTGCAGAAGCAGCCTGAGATGGAGATGGACAACCACACTTCCAGGTCACCTGTGGCTAAGATGGAGATGGACAGGCACACTTCCGGGAGATCTGTGGCTAAGATGGAGAAGGACGGCACACTTCCGGGCCACCTGTGGCCTCATACTGGGCTCCCTGAGGACAAGGTGCAGATGGGGCAGGATTGCACACACCAGGGAGGAGGGTGCCGGCAGCCATGGGGCCAGGTCACCCTGGGACGGGGGCAGGGAGGACCAGGCAAAGCAAGAGGACAGCTCCTATCAGCACTGCAGGGCCACAGATGTGATGCGGATGAGAGCCCACCTACGTCCCAGAAAGCCTAAAAACCCAACACCACCAAACGCTGGTGAGGACATGAAATCCCCAGACATACAGTGTGTGTGCAAATGTTCCCACCAGCACTGTGCTCTCAGGAAACAATCATGGGCAACCCAAACAGTGACAACTAAAATGGCCCATGTAAAATTTATCGTCGAAACCTCCACATTGGGACTCTCGTCCTTGGGGAACCTGCAGATGCAAAATGTCTCCAGTTTGATGCGTTTCTCTGGGACGAAAGCAGCTTTCTGAGCCTTGAACGGTGTGACGGTCAGTTCTATGTCAGCCTGGTGATGCTCTACCTATTCAGCCAGAGGCCGGCTGAGGACTTGCCGCGGAGCTCCTGGAAGAGGAGCCGTTAAGCAAAGGGGACCACGGTCAATGCGGGTAGGCCTCGTCTAACCCGTTGAAGGCTTTTAGAGCAACACGTGCATTTTCCCAGAAAAGGAATTCATCATCAACCACCCTGCAGGCTCCACCCTGACAGCCCCACTATGGCTACGCTGGGTCCTGCGGTGAGTCCCCACCCAGGTTCCCCATCCTCTCCTGGGCTCACCATCCCCACCCACCCAGGATCCCCATTCCCATCCAGGATCCCCATACCCCCGTGGCTGTTTCTCTAGAGAACGCTGACAAACATGGGTGGACCTGGACATGGGCCCCCACAGCAGTAGCAGGAAGAGAGGAAGTGGCCCTAGGAGGCTATGACGTGGAGTAGAGCTGGGAGGACCAGGGCCAGCGACCCACGAGGAACCTCAGCCAGGCTCATCTCCTCCACCCTCCCCCGATCCACTCCCACCTGGACAGCTCCTGTCCTTTCTCAAGATCTGACTCAAGGGAGGCTTCTACAGCCCTTGAAGTGCTGTCGACCAGGCCCTGGGCTCCCAGGGCTCAAACGGAGGAAGGCAGAGCCTTGCTCGCTTAGTGTGCCCACCTCCCACAGAGGGCAGCTCAGAAGGCACCCATGACGGCTCCATCTAAGGGGGCCAAAGACCCTGCCCGGACCGCCCCACCTCCTTTCAAACTAGAGGCAAGGGGGCCCACTAATGAAGACGGGTGTCTGTCGGGGAGGTGAGGACTGCACACTGACACACACGTGCACACAATTCACACACACACGCACATTCACAGAAGTCACTCAACTTGCGCACACACACAACTCACACTCACATACACACAACTCACACAACTCGCACACACATATGCACACAACTCACACCATGTACACACCTCACTCAACTCACAACTCACATACACTCACACGCACACAATTCAACTCACAACTCACATGGACACAACTTGCATACACACAACTCATGCACTCACAATACATCTCATGCACACGACCCGCATGCAACACACACGACTCACCTCACACTGACACAATTCACACAACACACAACTCACAAAATGCATACACAACTGACACAACTCACATGAACTCATATGCACACTCACAATACACGCACTCCACATGCACACTAGCACAATCCACATATAAGACTCACATGCACACAAACATATGTATACACACACATGCAAACTCACAGGTACACTCACACACAAACTCATGCATACACAACACACATGCACACTCAACACATAAGTCATGCACACTCAGACATGCATGGATGCTCCTGACACGCACAACACACCAACATGCACACTCCCCACATACACGTGCACACACTCACGCACACAAACACACACACGCAAACACCGACAAACTGTTCTATTTGTTAAATAGAATTATCTGGAACCAACACCGGAAGTGAACACTGGTACTCACCCACATGGGCAGAAGAGGAAAAAAGGAAACCTCTCTGCACCTTTTCATAATTCAAAATTTTAAAACATGAACATGTCACTGATTCAAAAGCAAATTTAACCACGTGTAGTGGAATCAACACCAGGTGAGGGCTGGTGATCCCGGGGACAGAGCTGACCATCCCAAGGCTCATCTGGGTCGGATCAGAAGGCCAGGGCACGCGGGGCGAGCAGAGGGGAAACACACTACCCTGCCGGGCCAGATGGAAACCAGAACATGTTCAGCTCTGCCACGAATGCCAGAATATGTTCCCTGCTGATCCCTGCAATCCAACGCTTCAGCTCAATTAAACCTGTTACAGACTTGTAAGTAAGAATGGAAAAGGAGACAGCCCACACGTGGTAAGAAAGCCTACTGCATATAGCCTAACAGGAGGAATCTGAGTTCCACACCATAGTGACACACTTCATCATTTCCAAGCAAATAAAACAGTGAACTTTGTCATCGTTATTTCTGCTTCATCACTTGCAAAGAAAATGTCATGCCTGCAACTTGTGCAACCTTTTTTTTTTTTTTTTTTTTTTTTTTTTTTTTT